CTGAAGATCTCATTTGCATCCTACATTTTATTAAACTGCATTTGGTCCATTATTTTTAAATCTAATATCAGAAAAATCTTTCCACATTTGATGGTCTCCCAGTTACAACAGAAAGGCCCATAGAAATATTTTAAGATATATTTGTTAAAAAGTTATTTTAAACATTATTTTCTTAAAATATGAGAATTTTTTTTTACTGATAGGAGTAAAAAAGAAAATAATTATTTGCATTTATAAAATTGCACCATATCACATCATGTTTAGGATAGTTCAAGTTCTTTATTGTATAGAAACTTGGAAAATTGTTTTGAAATAAGCGAGTCATCAACTAGAGCATAAGAACTTTTATTCTTTATAGACAATTTTTGTTTCAGTAAGCTTTTCATTTTTTTTATTTTGTGATGACCTAATGCGTCTTTTATAAGCAAGTCACAGGCACATAAATCACGGCCCATTTGTGTGGATGAAAGCTCATTTCCTGGTAGGTAGGCATGGTGATCACCATCATGAAATGAAAAGAAACATGAAGTGGAATTTAAAAACTTTTAGGATGGTTGGTTCTGATTTCAGATAAATTGGATAAGTAAACCCCTATCAACTAGTAGCTTTTTCTTTCTGATTTATCAAAGTGATAATGTCAAACCTAAAATTTACACATTTATCCCGTAAAGTTCACTTACTGTGTGTCAGATTTAGTCACAAGTGGGAGAACCTTTGCATTTATGGTACACACAGAACTCTCTCATTGAGAACATTTCAGTTGGTTTTGAATGACTACTGATATTTTGCTTTTTAATTTTGGTCAGGACTGACTATACCTGTAAATAAACAGGTCAGATTTTCTATGTGGGCCATAAATCATACATACACAGAAAATTATCTGTGCATAGCTAGCAAGTTTACTTAAGTTCAGGCATGAATCTAAAGCATGTACTTTTTCCAGTGTTTGAAATTTTTCCTCATAGAGTTCCATCTTTAGGATTTTAAAGTTGCAATTAAAATATGTATGGAATTCATCTTTCCTATTTAGCATATATTATACCATATAACTACAAATTTAGTACACATTAATTCAGTCTTCTCCCATTCCTATGGCTTTGCTTGAGCTATTCCCTTTTCTTAGAATGCCCTCTTCCACATTTGAAAGTCAAGATCTACCCATCCAAGGGTAGACAGCTTTGAGACCAGTGAAAGATTACTTGGTTGGTGATAAAGTAGAAAAACTTGGTGCTATAGGTTTACCTTTGGTTAAATCCAAATTCTTCATTTTGCTAGTGAGCAGACTTCCTACCTTCTCTATGCCTTCATTTCCCCATGCATACAATGGGGATTTTATATTTCCTTTTAGAATTGTGATGTGGGCTAATTGATGTAATATATGTAAAAGATCAAAATTATCAGGTCCTTTTCTTTCAAACGCCAATGTTTCCACAAAAATGTCTCCGGGTCTCACTCCTCCCTGCCAACTACCCCAATTACTGATAATCTCATCTTCCTTTGAATTCTTATACACTTTACCTGCCTCTCAAGAACTTCACTATTTTCTGCATTGTGTTATTCACTCATTCAGCAACTATTTATTGAATGCCTACCATGTGCCAGGCTTATATCCACATACATTTTGTTCTTTTTTTCCTCTAGCTTATTCTTAAGCTTCTTGAGGTTAGGTCTTTGTAATATTAATATTCCTTCCTCTCGCTTCATTGTCTGATAGTGCCTGGCACTAGTGCTTGAACAAGTATGTATTTGTTAATATTTGGTAATATTTTAATATTTGGTAAAACCGGCATTACTATATAATGCATGCAATAAGTGTATATTTTCAAATGTGTCCACATCCTCAAATAGGATTCACATGTGGGAAATGGTGCTCATATGCCAGTACATGGGGTCATCCTCATCCTCATTATTAAATAATAATAATGATGACGATGATAATAAAGCAATAGCCAACATTCCTGAGAATATACACAAAAAAGAATATTCTGTTCTCATTCCTACATGAGTTCTTGAAGTAGTTTCTACTAGAGCAAAACATGGTTTCCAAAAAGAGAATGTGAATGAACAAATGAGCTGCAGCTAAGTCTCTATGGAATTACATTAGCACAAATATAAGGAGTTTTTCAAATAACTATGGTTTATAAATAAGGACTTTCATATATACAATGCCATGGCTAGATGAAATTCTAAGGTTTCAGGGGAAATTACACAATCTCATAATGAGGCTGTGTGTACACAACACCAAGCCATCCAAATGAAAACTTGAGCAAATCACTTAGGAATGTGGTCTTTGCTAGCCCAGACATTTCGAGTCATTATTGGAAATATGTAATGTGGCTCTGACACTATTTTACTACTCGTGGATGAAGTACACTATAGAGAAGTCTCACTTTAATTTGCTGCTTCTAATCAACCACAGGCTAGAAAACCAGAAAGCCAAATTGGTTAAAACTGTGTTTAAAATAAGACTAGGCTCTGATTTAAGGCTGAGAGTACCTTACAAACAGAAGTAAATATAGGTGTTTAAGTGCATGGCTATTATATTTTTAGTTACTTATCTCCAAAATGGAGGTTTCCAAAAAGTTACCATGTAACATAAGGAATCTGTCAGATTACCTCTTCTCCCACAGTGCAGAGTTTCCTTTGAGAAATGGGATGTAGTGACTTTCGCTTCTCAGGAGTTTACCTCTATCAAGCGTCCTAGTGTCTCCAGAGTTGGTTCCTTCCAGTGGGTTCTTGGTCTTGCTGACTTCAAAGAATGAAGTTGCAGACCTCTGCATGAGTGTTACACCTCTTAAAGTTGGTGCAGACCCAAACAGTGACCATCAGCAAGTTTTATTATGAAGAGCAAAATAACAGCTTCCGCAGCATTTAGGAGTACACCAACGCACTGAGAGCTACTGCCTCAGATCGCCGGCCAGCTTTTATTCCCTTATTTGGCCCCACCCACATCCTGCTGATTGGCCCATTTTACAGAGCACTGATTGGTCCACTTTACAGAGTGCTGATTGGTCCATTTTTACAGAATGCTGATTGGCACATTTACAATCCTCTAGCTAGACACAGAGCACTGATTGATGCATTTGCAATCTTCTAGCAAGACAGAAAAGTTCTCCAAGTCCCCACCCCACCCAGAAGCCCAGCCAGCTTCACCTCTCACTAGTTGCTACAGACCATGCAAGATTCTACACAGAAGTAGATTCATGAGCACACTGTCCACATGTCTCAAAGGTCCAGAAGTCCCAAGAGACTTTCTGGGCCTATTCCATGGCCACCACTCACAACTCCATGCAGCTCTGCAGGCGTTGCCAGTGACTTTTCAATTCACTTGGGATGAAGTACCAGGTAGCAGAGTGCTTGAGCAGGTCCTAAGTGTGAAGGAACTGAGATGGGAAATATACCCCTCTTCTCCAGATGTGCAACCTGTCCTTGGCTGATGCTGACAACGAGCCTGAATTTGTTTTATGGTCTTTATTATTTTTGCTTCAGTGACTGACATTAATGAATGAATGCTGCACCTCAGGTTCCGTCTCCATGGCACTCCACCCACCTTCTCTTTTCTTCTGGAACCATTCAGAAGAGGGTATGTGAGCGAGTGTAGGAGGCTTATTGCCCAAACACTCCACTGGAAGAATGTGATAGAGCCAGATGTGAAATGGATCTCCCCTGAGTGAAGAATATGCAACCAAGAGTTGCAGCACATATTGGAGAGGAATGGCTTTCTGACTTAACTCTGGGTTTGTAATCTTGTGCTATCCCACATCCAAGTCAGAATGCCTGTCCAGCCTAGACATCAAAACTGGCCTGCTATCATTTCTAATTTTTACTGAGTATCTGTGAAGAAGAAAGAATCTTTTGGGGGGTTAATAGATCCCAGGCCTGAGAATTGGATATGGATTTCTATAGCCACTCGGAAGAAAAATTCCAATATTTTAAATCCACGTATCACATAATGTTTCAAGTGGAGCACACACATTTGGAACATTATAAAAAAGAGACAAAGTATATTATTTGACTGCAACAGCGCAGATAACTTTGCTGTGATGGTGAGCGCAGTGTAGCAAGAGTTAATGCTATAAAATTCACAGCACTGTCTATTGTGAATAAATCCAATGAAACTTGTTCAGATAGTATTCAAGCAATACTAAATAGACCATATGTAATCACCCAAGACCTGAGACACATAAAAACTTTATTAGTCATTACTGAAATAAAGTGCAAATAAGTTCGTCTTAGAAAGATCCAAAACTCTTTATGTTTTAGGTCAGCTGCGCCATAAAACAGTGCCTGACAAATTTTAAGTGATATTCTAATTAATCACTGGATTTTTATAGTTTCTTGAAAGTTGTAAGTTAGATATTAACAAGGCAGGGTGAGAGGAAATCCCCTCATACGGAGAATGAGTCCTATGTCCTTTGCACAAGCCCACTGGGTCAGCCAAGCCAGACTTTATACTAAGCAGCTGTTGGAAATGGAACAGACCATTAATCCGAAGAGTATCATTATTTTCATATCGATTAAAGTGGGATGTAAACCGTGCACCAAATTCACAAACTGATGGAAAATCATTCCAGCTGTGCCTCTGTCTGATACAAGAAACACTTTCTGGTGCATTTTTACATTTTTTTTTTTCGAGAAACGAATGTTTTGTAATATACTGATCATATGACTCTCCTTAATGCTATCACATACTCAGCAATCATCATGACCCAGCATTTTGGGTGTATAGATGTTTCTGATTTATATTTTTCATTTATGTCAATTAGATGCAATGATGGTATCAACAATCTAGGAAATTGTATTTGTAAAGGGAAATTTTGAAATTTCAAAATTTTAAAAGGAGGCAGACTTTTTTTGTGTTCACCGTCAGGAACAAATATCTCCAATGAGGAGCAGGCATTTATTTTCAAGGAATGAAATTTTAAAATGGCTATCACATTATTACTTCAATTCTTTTTTCTAAAAACACAAAAATCTCTTCTATAAACACTTTCACTTACCTCATAATATAAAGGAACATTACCACCTACAGGTTTTTTTGCCTTTTTAGATGAAGCAGATCCAACAAGTGTATTTATTTCATTAATCTGTAAGAAAATTAAATTTACTTATAATGTAAAAAGCCTTATTTGAAGAATATTTAGATATATGTAACTTTCAAATATCTAGGTGATCTGAAGGGTTGGGGAAACCAGCAAGAAAGAGGTACCTATGAATTAGGTAAAATATTTATAGTCACTTTGTAAGCTGTCAGTAATTGTACGGGTATGTGCCATCTGACAGATCTTTTCTATATTATTGCTCTCCTCTGACCTCTGACACTTATGATTCTCTGTAGCCTTCATTTTACAATTAGTCATGTACCTCCCTGGAATCTTAAATAGTCTAGTCTTTTATAATTATTTAACTTGAATTAAATATTTTCTCACAGAACCTAGCATGGTGCCTGGTATGACCTCAGAAATCTTTGACAAATAAATTAATATTGAATTAACAAAATTAATAAACAAAAATAAATTCTTCCAGATTGAACAACTCAAATTTATTCTGGCTAAATAGTTACTTAAAATAATCCATCAAAATTTACAAAACAGTCCAAGAATAAGATAGTTTATTTTATAATTCTATTCTCTTATTTTAAGTAAAAAAGTCTTCAGGGGATTTTGAGGTAGGAAGGGACAGGTACCTGCTGGAAAATGTCTTGCCAGGATACCATACTGAAGAGTTTACGCTGAGGGACCTGGACAGCCAGGGTAAGGGCTTGGATGAGAAGATCATCTTCAATTTGGTTCCCAACCATAAAAGCAATGGAGGCCTTCCAGTCGTTCTATTAAAAATCAGATGGAATTAGATTTTAAATATTCCTGAATAGGTCATTTCGTGTCAAATATTTCCACTGAGAAACAATAATTTTCCTGTAAATCTTACTTGAAAGACAGAGGTGACCTTGTAATGTATGTGGTTCCCTGATTGAAGTAGCCGCAAGGCGGCAGTGTTGTGCCAAATTTCATGCAACTTGACCAAGACAATTTTCTTGAGAAACTAGTCCTTTTATTTTGAGGAAGACGATTTTTAAAAACGACACTTTCACTAAACTGTTGTCCAAGAATAATCCGGTGTTGGAAAGCAATCGTTCATTCCTATGTCACAAATATATATTAAGATGTAGTCTCAAAAAACAAGAACCTTTATTTTGTTCCCTAGTATATCCCAAGACTCTAAATCGTGGTAGGAATATAAAAGCAGCTGAAAAAAACTGTTAAATGTTGGGTCATATTGGATGAGCTGCCAAATGAGAACTGAACCACATCTTTTTCTCTTAATGTAACACAAGAATCTCATTGCTAATTCACAAGTGAGTCCTTTCCACTCCCAAGAAATGGGCAAAAATATTACACTTGGACATGAAATTTCACATCAAATAATTAAAAAAAAAAATAAGTTACTAAAGAATTACATTCAGTACTTTTTTCTTTTTGTTTATTGTAATTATAATTTCTGTTGGGAGATTAAGAGTGGTGCTCACTGGATTACTGCACATTACCCACTGTGAGGTGCTGAGGAAAGAGCTACTCACGCAAATCAGTATTCCTGCTTTCGAACACTAACAATTTTAGGGGGAGATGAAACCAACAAACACAATAAAGACATCAGAAAAGAGAGGGAATAGTAAGGGAGGGCACGCTAGTCATGTGACCTGTCTGGGCCTTAGTTTCCCCATTCATAAAATAAAGGGGTTGGACAGGGCAATCCCTAAGCATCTCTCTAGCTCCTCTCTAGAGGTCTGATTCAAATATAGTAAAACGGTCTCCTGGTGGATACCAAAACAATGTCTAAGATTTGAAAAGGTCATACAAATTTAATAAAATGCATAATTTTATGTGGTTCCTCTGGTTTCTCCCCAGTTTATAATCAGGTTGATGACAAAACTAGCGTATAGGTGGGAGAAAATACTTTAGTGTAAATTCTTTCTTACCATCAAGAAGCAATTGTCCTTAAATCCTTCTTATTTAGTTCCATGGAAGTCTACTAACTACCTAACAAGACTCATCCAATTCTTAAGGCTATCACCAAAGCAAAAAACACATATAAAAGCATAAAAATGTATATTTGACTTGCAAAGTGTGTGTGTGCATGCATGCATGCAGGTAGGTGTGACTTTGTATGGTTTCCTCTGTTACAATGAGTTGAAAACATTCTTTGTGTCTATAAATTCACCAGGGGAAGACTGATCATTTATTTTTTAAACATTCTGACTTCTAAAAGTAGATATGATATGTATAATGCATTCTTTAGAAAAAAATATCCTTGATCTCAAAATGACTTTTCCTGAATTAGATGCCTTTTTTCTCTTGTCTGCTTTCTCAGTCAAAGCTGCAACTGTAGTCATCATTAAGGGGGAAAAATCTCTTTCATTTCACAATAAAGTACACACAGTTACAGGACAGGCAATACCTTGAAGTTCCTGGTGGCTACACCTTCCAAGACTGAAGATTTTAATAACCACCTTTACCCCCTTATCTCACTCTCCACTGCAAGTTTCCTTGCCAATATTTGAAAGTGAATGGTGACAAGAAAAGACTGTCTTTCTGCTCTTTGAGGGGCAATTGAGAAAGAGGGTATTGTAGTCCATTACCCATCTATCCATTAGTATTTGGTGTCAAGGCAGGTGTTGACCATTTCAGATCAGAAAAAAGAGAAGAGGGGCAAGAGGGAACTAACAATTATTGTGAATCTGCCATGTGTCAGGCATATGTTATCTCATAGAATCCCTAAGTTATCCTACAAAATAGGTTCACTATTATCTTATAGATGGAAAGACAAAGGTCCAAAAAAGTTAAATGACTTGTTCAAGGTCATTTTGGCAGAACCTCATGGAGACCACAGACACGGCTTACAACTTTGTGATCATTTCAGAACAGTTTTGGGAATAAGTCTTTGGGCTCAGAATGTCTTTCCATAATCCTTAAATTGCACCTAATAGACTATTTGACCATAATAAAACTATCAAGCAAAGATTTATCTCAAATGTATACATGTGTATAGAGCCTTCAAAAATAGATTAGGTAGGCTGGGTGGGGTGGCTCATGCCTATAATCCCAGCAGTGTGGGAGGCCGAGGTGGGCAGATCATGAGGCCAGGAGATCAAGACCATTCTGGCTAACATAGTGAAACCCCATCTCTACTAAAAAATACAAAAAGTTAGTCCAGCATGGTGGCAGGTGCCTGTAGTCCCAGCCACTTGGGATGCTGAGGCAGGAGAATGGCATGAACCTGGGAGGCAGAGCTTGCAGTGAGCTGAGATCACATCACTGCACTCCAGCCTGGGTGACACAGCGAGACTCTGTCTCAAGAAAAAAAAACAAAGATTAGGGATTAAATCTTTAAAACATGATATGATTACTTTTTAAAAAATTACAATTTTACAAAGGATCAAAGAGGTTAAAGAAATTTCCCAAGGTTCTTTCTCTCAAGCGCAATGCTCTTGTTCCTTCCTTTGCTCCAGGAGATATCTTTTTATTATTATTATTATTATAGAAATTTCCCAAGGTTCTTTCTCTCAAGCGCAATGCTCTTGTTCCTTCCTTTGCTCCAGGAGATATCTTTTATTATTATTATTATTATTATTATTATACTTTAAGTTCTAGGGTACATGTGCATAACGTGCAGGTTTGTTACATATGTATACTTGTGCCATGTTGCTGTGCTGCACCCATCAACTCGTCAGCACCCATCAACTCGTCATTTACATCAGGTATAACTCCCAATGCAATCCCTCCCCCCTCCCCCCTCCCCATGATAGGCCCCGGTGTGTGATTGTTCCTCCAAGTCCTGGCACTGTACCAAAACTTGTGGCTCCCTGAAGTCACTCTGAGACAGTGTGCCCAGGTGAGAGCAGGTTCAGATTTGTTTAGAGCTCTCTAGGAGAGCTGGGGGTCTAGGCCACGTCTCCCCATTTCAAGTGGTCTTAAGAGTCCAGCTCTGTCCCAGTTTCCCATCTATGCTCTCTTGCCCACCAAATGCGTGCTTTAAAATTGGATCTATGTGGCAAAACAGGACTCATAACTTTGTCAGAGTTATGGTTTAGTGTCTAATCACATGGCCAGAGTCTGAGTAAGCATGACAGGGACCAGTCAGACAGTAATAACACAAACTGAGAATGCCTACAGAAAAGGATGCACTCATTGTGAGCTGCAGCAGGGGGCAGTGAGACGCTAGCAAATGCGCATTATTGAACAAATGAAGAACAAGTCATTTCCCCATGTCTAATTGGACAGAAGAATTAAATAAGCAATTCTCTGCAAATACAATTTCTGAGTGTTTCCCTTAGTATTTCAGGGTAACCAGAGATTCCAAACTTCCACCAACTGGCGGCATTTTTAGAAATAAAAAACTAGAAAAAAAAATCAGACACAGATTAGATTTGGCAAAATACAATAGAAAACAACCCTTCACCCGTATCCTATCCCAACATGCAGTTAAATGAAGTCCTTAAATTTAAGTTCACAGGACAGAGAAAGAAATTTAGTATGGAGAAAACAAGGGTTGACCATTGTCGGCCAATGAAAGTATAATGTGTGCAACCCAGTTCACTACAGACTACTAATTACACCCAAACTTCTTAAACTATCTTAAGAAGTTTAAGATAGTTTAAGAAGTTTGGGTGTAATTAGTAGCATGAGCTGAGAGAAAGAAGATTAATAACTTCAGAAAAGCTACACTGGATATATCCAATGGTGAAGGAAGAGGGTCTGGGTCTGTCACACCGAAAGCACCTTAGAAAATCAAGTCGGTTGTCTGTGACCTGGAGGCATGTATTGTACGTGATCATTGCTGAGTCTCGCCCCTCGTAGTGATTGATAACGCCATTCAAAGGATGGAATGAAGTCATGTATGGACACAATCCATTTCTCTTTATTTACTTTACCAGTCTCACCTAATTTGAGGCCTAGCAGGAGGGCTTCTTAACCCAGACACTTACATAGTAGTCTCCTAAGGCAAGAAAGTATTCACGTAAATGCAGAGAAACTGGCTGTCTTACATAAGCCTACTGTCCCGGAGACACAGGGTAAATTTACAACTGTTTTTCTTTCATATATTGCAAATTCTCCAAATTTTACTTAGGCATTTCATATTCTTAATTGCAAAAGCCTTTTCAAAAGCAAGTGAAAAGTGGCTTTTGGACAATCGGATTGTAATTGCTTCCCTCTATTAGCACAAGTAATCAGTTGATTTAGGGAAAGACAAGGGCAGGACTTGCAAGCCCTCTTCTGCTGCCTTTGCTAGTATGATAGGGTGCGACTCGAGATGACAGTCTCACAGTCCTCTACCCAGAACTAAACAGGGTCTGAGCTCTATGAACCAGTAGTGGTCAGCACCCTTATTATGAGAAGACGTACAAATGCCCCAGGTAAAATCAATGCAACATTCAAAAAATCAGGTTTTATTAAGAGCTAGTTAACAATGTACAGATATGCAAACCTGTACTTTACGTCAATACTCTGCTGAGACGATAACCTTTTCGTTAAGTAGATTTACTGCCAAATGGACAGGGATTTGTGAATGTCTTTCTCATACCAGGTTTTTCCTTCAAAAAGAGTCTTCGATCTCCATCAGCAAGGAGTGTTGGTATGGGCTTTTGGCCAGCAGAAGAAATATTTTTATTACATAGAACTGGCTGCTACAATCATATTTGTGTGACTCTAACTGTAAAATAGGTTGAAAATATATGTTAAAAATGGGTATACGTTGTTACATAATAAACAAGAATACTATTAATGGCCATGCTATGTACTAATCTCTTTACTGTCTTTACTAAACAAGTAC